TAAATCACATATTCTTTCTGATCTATTAATGCTATAAAATCTACCACATTCAATAGGTAACCTATGACTACTGCACCTATATTTACACAAATTATTTCTTAAATCAAAAGGCAATGTAGTTAAATAATCTTCCAAACCAAACTCAGACTTGTACATTCTATAATTTAAACATTTTGATGTATTAAATATTTGAGCCTTCCATTCATTTACAATCAAATTGTGGTAATACTGTTTCACATTTTTAGACAACTGACAGTTTGTATCTATATATTGATTATTCCAGGCATTAATAAAACCACATTCAGATAATATATCTTTTACACAATTCAACCACTTAGAGTGAAATATATCACCAGAATCCAGTATAAATAGCATTTCATACAATGTACGAGAAATTTACTCTTTTTTGCCTGTAACAATACGTTTCCAAAAACCAACCATTCTTGCCTTAATATTAACAGACATTGGTACTCTACCAAGTTCACCATATACAATGCAATTAGGTGTACATTTTTTAACTTTCATTATATATTTACAAAATTCTAAGTGCAATGATTCAATAACATCATTTTTCTCATACCCCCAAACTTATGCACCGTACAACAATATAGGGCCAACAATAGCATCAAAAAGTTGTAATAATACATCTATAGGTAAATACAATTTTCTTGCCTTACGTAATACATAAAACATTGCTTTTCTGGCTTGTTGAACCAATCTAGATTTATTAACATGAAAAGTACCTTTTCTAGAGAATACAATACCTAAATATTGGAATTCATCAATAACAGACAAACGGTCATTATTATATGTGAAATGAACATTTTCAGCCTGTCGACTTTTAGAAAATATAACAAAATTGGTTTTTGAAGTATTAACTTCACAGTATAAATACATTGCATTCAATGCTGATTGTAATTCAGCTGCGGATTCTGCAAAAATTACTGTGTCGTCCGCATATAACAACAGATACAATTTGAAATACACTTCAATATCATCATTGTCAAACAGTAAATGAGACATATTACAAACATCATTCAGACCACTATAAGCATGTGACATAAACTCAGTCAAATCATTAAGAAAAATAGAAAATAATAGAGGCGACAGGTTTTCACCCTGCCTCACACCAATATTAGATGCAAAAAAATCTGAACAATTAAATCCATCTCTTACACAAGATTTTGCATTTTTATACAAGTTTTGTAATACAATCAGTAATTTACCATCTATACCATTGCGTAACAATTTTTGCCATAATAATATTCTGTTTACAGAGTCAAAAGCCTTACGAAAATCAACAAAGGCGCAATACATTTTTTTCCTTCTAAATGAATGCAAATCGATGAGACATTTCAAATTAAAAATAAGATCAACAGTGCCATACCCCTTTCTGAACCCTGCCTGTTCTTCACATAATAATCCTAAACTATACAGATATCGCTTTAAAGCTCCACCCACTGCCGGACTACTTTTGTGTATTGCTGTTGACGAGTGTTGTATGAACTTTCGTGACCTCAGAATGTGTATTGTAGTCGCATTCCATTGACGTATTGCTTGACCTTATGTGAACTATAGATTAATTTACGTTTTGTTTGTTTTCAAGCATTTCTTCAGAGCAATATGACAAGAATAAAAATAGTTTGTCTTCATGAACAGCAGGATTAACTTCATTTCTACGGCGCCAATCTTCAAGTTTAAAACTTGAATGTGTACATGTGTAATACAGAAAATCAACCATGCAACAATGTCAATAATCAGTGAATGTCACAATCAGTTCGAAATTCTGAAGCGTAGGACAAATCATTTTTGTCTTAAATCGGACAATGTTTTGTTATTTCTTTTTCGCTGAAGCTCGCATTACACCTGTTTCTCAGCCTCGTACAAATACAGCTGATATTTAAAGACACTAAACAGTTATTGTCTATTTAACTATAATGGAATCAAAACAAATGTTTATTAATGCGTGCTGCGTATTTTTCACTTTGGGATTATTTTTCATCTTTTAAGTTGTGTCATTCGTGAGTCTGTAGTTATTATCGTAAGGATACTGGTTTCCGGCATGGTTGGTCCACTTCCGATCTGTAATTCGTATAAATATTTCAATAGCGGACGCAGAAAAATTACTGGAAAGGAATATGACGTTTTTAATGCAATAAATGGTTCAAACATTAACTAAAGGCAATATCAATCATGTTCAAATGAAGAAACTAATTTTTTTGGCGAAAATGCGAATCTTTTGAAATACGCTCGAGTAACAAGTGCTGGAAGTTAAGAAAATACTTTGATTTGTTTGCACAAAGCCATTGTTGTTTCTTCGAAATAATCAATCCACAAAGTCAATGGTTTCAACACGTTTCTAAATAAATAAATTAATTGTCTGTATCTTTGAATATCTTTTACTTTACTACAAATAAAAACATGCAGATTCATCAACTTGTTTTGATAAATATAATACATCAGACGTTGCAGGTTTTTTTTCGGGAGTTAAACAATTTCCGAAATCGCGAAAAAAATGTAAGGGTCGGCAAAACAGTCGCCAAAAAAATAGGGTCAGACGGGTAACCGGAAACACACATATATTCTTATTTAGCCTTACTCTTTTACATACTGGTCATGTTTGAAATTTTTAGGCGCATTTTTCTAAGGAAGGTAAAATAAAAGTTTCTTGAAATTTGGCAACTTCTTCTTTACCAAAGGGGAACTACAATTGAAAACTTCCTCAAATTTGTTATTTGAATATCTCTTTGGTATCTTTCACCCCTCTTTTATCAGGCCTCATGTGAACATGCTTTATCGTGTAATGCTTTTTCATATCCATTGCTCTTGAACTTCTTGTTGACCGAATTCTTAAAGCGGGGTTTCATAACAAAGCAAAAGCTCACAGTTTTACCTATTTGACATGTCAAGATGAAACGAATGATATATAGGTGAGTCCGAAGCGGAATATACTACTGGTTACTTCGTTTTGCAGACTTTGTAACAGCATCCTTTTACAATCATTGTTGATATTTTCAGTTTATTATAGGATTGAAAGGTGTACATTTCCATCTGATGAGTCATCTAACCTTGACATCGTATCATGGTTCAATGATAAGTTTTAAGTTATAAAAAGACTTCTCCCCTTTTTTGAACTAAACTTATTAAAAGACTTCTCCCCTTTTTAGCTCACCTGGTCCAAAACCAAAGCATTTAGAGCAAATCTGATAAGGATAAAAATGTTCATCAGGTTAAGATTTATCTGCTCTGAAATTTGCAGACGAATCAGACAACTCGTTGTTGGGTTGCTGTCCCTGAATTTGTAATTTTAAGGAAATTTTGCAGTTTTTGGTTATTATCTTGAATATTATTAATGTTTTTAATTTTTAACAATTTTTCGTAAATTTTTGTAATCTTTTACAAAAACCTTCTCCTCTGAAACTACTGAGGCAAATTAAACCAAAGTTGGCCACAATCATCATTAGGGTATCTAGTTTACAAAATGTGTCCGATGACCCCGCCTGCCAACCAACATGGCCGACATGGCTAAAAATGGAACATAGGGGTAAATGCAGTTTTTGGCTTATATCTCTGTAACTAAAGCAAAAATATAATGGTTGCATTATTTCATGCATCAATTGTAAACAAAATTATCAGGTGAGCGACACAGGCTCCTTGGAGCCTCTAGTTTGAACTATTAGAACTTTGATTAAAATTAAGTAATGCACAAAATATGCTTTTAACTGGCCTAATGTATAAAACACCATGTATTTAAAGAAGCCGAATACTCATTTGAAGCAACAGATTTACTACAGTAACTGTTATTCTAAAGGGAAAAAATATATGAATCTAACATATAGTTTTTTTTTTCGAAAAAGGGGGTTAGGGTTTATTTGAAAATGTACTATTTTTCAACGATAAAAATCTTAGGTTTTTTTTATAATAATCATTTCGTATATAAATATTTGATGCATGTGTGTACTTTAAAGGTGAAAAGTTACAAAAAAGCATACTACATGAGTATTACATGGACATGAACTCCAAAAGGAGTGAGACTAGGTTGTTGACAGGGTAAGTGTTAGTAATCACTAGCTATCCTACAGTGATCACGGTCAACAATGTATTAGTGTGTGATTATTTATATTAAGGGGGACCACTTGTTATAGGGCGATGATATGATGTGCAGTTGTATAAGGATTTGCACATATCGTACATTTTGTATCCTTGGAGATTATTTACCCCGTCCACTCAGTCATGGTTCATTAACTTTTTGATGTTTTGCATAGTTTACATTATAAAGTATTGCCATTTGATTCAACATTTGCATTACACTATCAAAGTTATATATAGGCGAGACATATCTCTTTGACATCAGTTATAATGGTATTTTTATTTTATTTTGATGTTTAACCAACAGTTTTGTTATCATGGCAATGTCTCTAAAGTTTTATAAATTGTAAATATATTTGAGAGTACTTGTGCTTAATTTTTCTAAAAAAAAAATCTACCTGTCTTACATTTTAGTTGAATATCGAAAAATCTCATATCCTTGGAGATTATTTACCCCGTCCACTCAGTCATGGTTCATTGACTTTTTGATGTTTTGCATAGTTTACATTATAAGGTATTGCTATTTGATTCAACATTTGCATTACATTATCAAAGTTACATTTAGGCGAGACATATCTCTTTGACATCAGTTATAATGGTATTTGTTTTTATTTTTGATGTTTGACCAACAGTTTTGTTACAAGGTAACAAATCATGGCAATGTCTCTAAAGTTGTATAAGTTGTAAATATATTTGACAGTACTGGTGCTTAATTTTTTTCTAAAAAAAAAAACAATCTACCTGTCTTAAATTTTAGTTGAATATCGAAAAATATTTGTTCAAGTTTGGTATCCTCTTAAACATTCTGACATCTTAACAATGAAGCGAAGACCCCCAAAATAAACAGTTAATTTCCAGATGTTAGTAAATTGTTTTTAGACTTGAGCTTAAAGATGTTGGTTTTTTTTCAGAAAGTTCAATTAACCAGTTTGAGAGACCAGATCTAAGCAGAGTTGTGAAATGTTTTTGTCAGTGCTATGAAAAAATAGTACACTCCTCTGAAGTAGAGTGGAAGTCATTACCAGCTCTTAGTATATTCTACTCTGTGCTATCAACATTTTCATATGACCATTTGATGAAAGGTTTGCCAAAATATACATAAAGTTAAATTTAAAGAAAAAACAAAGTAAAATTAACATAAAGCATTAAAACAAACTGAAAAATCATAAGAAAAAAGACAAAAAAACGTATCATATGAATTACCCCAAACATACACACTTAATCATTATTATAACCATTTGTCAACGAGAAAACCGACAATACCAATATAAGATACCAACGGCCAACGATACACCATCGTAATACCAACAGCCAACGAAACAACAACTTAAAGATATGGGCAAACGATGCACCAATATTTGTTACGTATTGAAATGAATTCAGTATAATTGCACAAAGGTGACAGTTCTTTAAAATTATTGTCCCCTACAGTGATGGGGGACGAGAACTGACAACACGTTTGCAACAGATTTAAAGCAATTGTCAAACGGCATATATGATCATAATATAATCAAAAAGCCAACAATGAACCAACAATTTGCCAAAAGTTGTTTTAATTAGAACACATAACATGTAATAAGCAACCAACTATCAATAAAAATAAAAACAAGATACATTGTATTCCCAATATTATGTCAGCAAATTAAATGCACTGTTGAACCTATAATAGTAAATATTGTGCCATATTGTTGGTTCAACATTGGACCAACATTGGTATGCCAAAGTCATCATTCATTTAGCACAACCTTTATCCAACATTGTGCTAACGTTAGTATGCCCCTATATTCAATGTTGGGCCAACGTTAGTACACCTCAATATTCAACTAACGGTGCTGTTTTATCCTGCGTTAGCCCAACGTTGGGCCAAAATCGTTATGCCAACACCTGCAGTCATTCAACGGTACAACCTTAATCAAACGTTGGCCTAATAATGTTTTAACGTATGTATGCCAACGCCTACATTTAACCAACGTTGCTATCTTTATTCAACGTTGGAACAGGATGTCAATGTTTACATTAAACCAACGGTACAACCCTAATCCAACGTTTGCCCAACGTAAGCATGCTGTATGGAATAATTGCAATATCAAAACACAGGATTATATCGAGGAAAAAATAATCAATTTTTTTTCTGAAAACATAAAAAAAAAACATTTAATTCTGATGTTAGATTTAAAACATGTGTCGACTTTTCAACATCCTTACATTGAACCAAACATTTATGATTGCCGCTATTACATCACAGTCATAAAAACCGTAAAAAACATCAATATACGCTTACCACTTGCAACGTACAAGGACTTCAATTGTTTTCTTCATCAAGGCAAATGATTACTTATGATTTTTGTTATATGTTACACGTTATTAATCAGCTTTACTTTGTTTGGTCACTAGCTGTCCAAATAAACATCATGATATCATTAAATTAAAACAATATTAAATCAAGATTAACATATCAGCTGAAATCATACACTTCATTATTTGACAGTCAAAAAGATCCTGATATGGTGGAAATAAAAAATACATTGTACTCTTCGTGAATAACAAATGTTTATCTCGTGCTAAAAAAAATAATCACATATTGTATTTCATTACCAACGCCCATACGGTCACGGCTATCGGTGCCTTGGTCAACATTTGAAAAATTGACATATTTAGACATCCAAAAGCTGAGGTACAATCAATTCTTCAATTTCAAATCAATAATTTAGTTTATATTATAGCTAATAATTGTCTATATCTTCTTTATACAATATATCTAACAGCTTTGACTGAAAATAGTCTGAACAATAGCAAAATTAATATGTATGAAATTTTCAGTTATATTTAACTTTCTTTAACTTGTCGAATACCTAAATGTAGATGTGAACCGTATTAATACAATCGTCTCCAGACAAATGAATAGAGAAGCAATAAATTTATCTTAAGTAATTCCCTTGAGATTTGTTGAAAACTTTAAATGAACGGTCGTTTTACATAAAATAGGCTGAGTAAGAGAATGTATAAGAATAGGTGGACTGACGATTATCGTTTACAAACTAACTTCTTACAAGTTCTTTACTATGTAATCCAAATCTTAAATGGGTTCAAGTGTTAATTTAATTCACACGATAAACATCGTATTAACTGCGTCGCCGAAGGCAAAAGCTGGTCTAGTAACCTCTCGACTCCGTCCATCTGTCCGAAAGAAAACTTTCGTCAAGTCAATAGTTTTCTTGGCTTCTATGGAAGGGAATTATTTAATATTTGGTATGCAGCTTTATAATGATGAGTTGTAGCGAGTAAGCAAGTTTTGCTTCTGCCATGTATCCACTTCATGTTTCTGATAGTTTAAAATTTTACATCACTATAATTGTACAAACACTATAATTGTACAAAGAAAATTTTCGTCAAAGTTTTCTTGGCATCAGTGAAAGGGAATGCTCAGTTGTGCTCCATTATACATGTTATCTCAATCAATTGCATGCAGAGATGCAGGTCTAGAACTATTATTTGTTTTTATACGACCGCAAAAATTTTGCGGTCGTATATTGGTATCACGTCGTCGTCGTCCGAAGACACATTGGTTTCCGGACAATAACTTTTGTTTAAGTGTATGGATTTCTATGAAATTTTACCATAAGGTTTATGACCACAAAAGGAAGGTTGGGATTGATTTTGGGGGTTATGATCCTAACAGTTCAGGAATCAGGGGCCAAAATGGGGCCCAAATAAGCATTTTTCTAGTTTCCAGACAATAACTTGTGAAATGGTGTATGGATCTCTCTGAAATTATACCACAAGTTACCATATCACAAAGGAATGGTAAGAATTTGCTTGTGGGTTATGGCTCAAACTGTTTAGGAATTAGGGGGAAAAACAAGGGTTTCCAGGTTAATGGACAATTACTTAAGTACAAAACATAATTTTAAAGCAGTGTAAGGGAGGTAATTCAAACACATATTGTCAAATTACCTCCCTTACACTGCTTGTAAATTATTTATAAAGAAATGTATTGTCATTAGGTGATTAGGTGTCAATTTATTTTTAGAAGTTACTTTTTTAAAAATGTTTAATAAAGGTAATTTAATTCTAGCCATGATTATGTATGTGAAGGAATTTTATTTTTAGATATTACTATTTAATGTTGCTGATGGAGGCTTTTTAATTTTAGGCATGATTATGATGTCATTTTCCTTTTTAAAAACTATTTAATTTTAGCCATGATTATGTTTGTGAAGGAATTTTATTTTTAGATATTACTATTTAATGTTACTGATGGAAGTGTTTTAATTTTAGGCATGATTATGATATCATTTTCTATTTTAATACTTTTATGATGTATTTAAATGGGTTTTTATGGTTACAAAGTCCTAGCTGTCAATTTGTTTTTAGAAGTTACTTTTAAATGCTGATGAAGGAATTTTATTTTTAGATATTACTGTTAAAAGTTGCTGATGAAGGTTTTTTAATTTTAGCCATGACTATGATGTCATTTTCTATTTTAATACTTTTATGATGTATTTAAATGGGCTTTTATGGTTAAAAAAAAGCATTTTTCTAGTTTCCAGACAGTAACTTGTGATTAAGTGTATGGATCTCTCTAAAATTGTACTACAAGGTTCCATACTACAAAGGAAAGACTGCAATTGAGTTTGATGGTTAATGCTAAAAGGGGGATTCAAAAAGTCTGGGGGGAAGGGGGGTTTCCAATTTTTTCTTACAAGGGTTCATATTTTTTTTCAAAATTTTCAAAATTTCAAAATTTTGAAAAGTTTCAAGAAGAAATCTTCAATTGCACAGTATTGCGCATTAGATTTGTAAGATCTTTGACCACATTTATTTTGTGTCAGAAACCTATATTATGTCAAAAATTTGATCACAATCCAAATTCAGATAGTATCAAGCTTGAATATTGTGTCCAAATTTGCCCCAACTGTTCAGGGTTCGACCACTGCGGTCGTATCAGGCTGCGCTCAGCGAAGCATTTTATTTTTTTTATTTATAAGGGGATGTAACTCTACAGAGAAAGTTTTCATTCTACAAATGATAACAAACAAACAAATTCTGGTCATGCACACATTTTAGTTTTCCATTTTGTAGTATAAATTGGATGTTCTGTGGCATATTGTGGTCTGATGTTAAAACTCCGCCTTTTTGACTATTGTTCTGTCTTTGGAATTTAATTTGTAATGAGAAATTTATGAGAAATTTATGAAAGAATTGGGAAACAATTGGCACTAAATTAGTATGATTCAAACAATTACGTCATAATCTGGAAAGGTTAACATGTTAAAATACAAAAAAGAGGGAACTGATACTATATATAGCCTTTAATATTTTTAATTATTTTTTTCTTGTTTTGTAGAACTTTCATGCCAGCTGAACAAAGATATTATATTTACAATAGTACCTGTGATAGAATTATCATTGGAAACAACATTGTTGGTTGGTTGTCATTGAATTTCAATTATAAGATATCTTAGATTAAAACATTTACAAGGAATAATTGTGAACCTTGCACGTTACAGCCTTGACAGTATGAGGGAAAAGTATAATTGCAAGTAGGACTTCTTTCTTCTTCATGAAATAATTATATATTATTCATAAGTCACTAAAATACACATTTTTATATTTTGTCTCAATAAATTGTTATCCTTCTTAGCTGAAGTGGTCCTTAAGCCTATCCTCATTGTAGTCCGGTTTCATATACTTTTTTAAAATCTTCTATGAAACTTATTTATTGAATGCCATTGTCAAATAAGCTAGTTCAATATATGTTTCAGCACAAACAATTTTCAAAAAAGAAAACTCTACACTTTTATTTGACTCAATCTTTTTTTTTCATCGCTTAGAAATAGGCGGTTACGGGAAATGACTCTACAATGATATGCATGGAAACAGCGTCTTGATGGTTTAAACAGAATTTCCTTTAAAATTAGATGTGGTATGATTGCCAATGAGACAACTATCCAACAGATTCCAGATGAAAGAGATTTGAGCCATTATATGTCACCGAACGGCCTTCAACAATGAGCAACACCTATACTGTATAGTCACCTATAAAAGGTCATGACATGACAAAATGTGAAACAATTCAAATGAAAAAACCAATGGCCTGATTTATGCTAAAACAATAAACGAACAACAAAATGACAGACAGCAACCAATCACAACCACTGAATTACAGGCTCCTGACTTGAGACAGTCCCATATATAATTTTAAATTGTCTCAGCTAGGGTTAGGACATTACAAAATCAGCAGTAGAGCACCAACCGTAGCTAACAAAAAACGCATTTAGTAAGTGAACAAAATCAAAATTCTTAGTTTAAAACGACAAATCCTCTAATTCTTTGACATTAAATTGTGAATCCGTATCTATGAATCGGCAGTTCATTACTTCAAATACCCGGATTAAAGGGATTGTGAGTAAGCGTATTATTACTGCGAGGAAAACAGTATACTCCCTCATGGCTGCTGTTCTCCGCGGTTTAGATGGAGTCAACCCAAAAGTCTCTGTGTACTTACTACGTAACGTAATACCAAGACTTTTATATGGGTTAAATAGATGTCATAGCTCTCAAATCAGGCAGATATCCAAAAGATTGAAATATTCACATGTAGAATTCTTGGCAGATTTTAATAAAACGTATATCATAGGTTTATATCAGCAATGTCTCGAACGAGTTCGAAAATCAGTGCCGATGAACTAATTTTAAAAGAGTTAGGCCCTTGGAAACATTACTTATATGGAAAATTGCATTGTTAGTGCTCTCATGGCCTAGCATCGATAAGATGTGTTTCTGCAAGCTCCATCTCATTAAGGATTATTATGATTTAATAATGATTTAAACTAATTTGAAAAAATATGGATTTAACATCAATATTCTTTAAGAACATTACATCTTTTCTTGGAGACTTTTCTGGATTTAAAAGTGCTTCAGAGGATTTTGACTTTCTTAAATCAAGTGAGTTATATATCATTGATGACTGTACAGACAGAACTCTGTCCTATGTTATTAACTTTAAAAATAATGTAATAAACAACCTATTTAAAAATATCGTTCGGAAACTACTCTCAAGAACAATTTGAGGACAGAGGTAAAAATGGACTTGTCTATTCTTTTGATGATAGTGAAGGGAAAGTTGTTTTACACATACATGAGTCCACTAACACTCTACATATTCAAGGAAAGGGGTGTATATTTTGGTTCAAAAATACTTTTAAGATTTTTGCAGAAGAACTATATAACACACAGAGACTGGATGATTCTAAAATTGTGAAATTTAAAAATTCTTGTGTGCATGTAAATTATGAGGATAATGAAAACACCATCAGTAGTATAAACCAGATTGGATCTACACAAAATTCCAATGTGTCAGAGACCAATCCTAAGGTTGTGCAGTACATGACATCTGACTGTGTAGAGACAGAATCAAAATTAGCTCACAGCATGACATCAATCAACACAGATACTGTCATTACTTCCACTCCCAGCAGGCAGTCACCTGATACCAATGAACTGTTGTTAGATTTTAATACTTTATCTCCAATTAACATCAATCATCATGAAAGTATTCATCTACAGGAAGTAATATTTGAACTGAAAAAAAACTGTTTGCCATCTAATGAATTTGATAAACAATAAACCCATTGTAACTGACAAAGGGACACAGGTTACTACTTGTGATGCTTCTACACAAACTGATGATTTCCAAATAACTACAAAACCTGAAATTAATAGCGTTGGAACTCAAATTCATCCTAATTCAAAGGACAGTGGCATGCAAACATCCCCTCCTGAGGTGCATTCAAAAAATGTTGAAAGGTGCATACAATCAACTCCTGATGTTAAAAATATCTCTAAATCCCACTCTCAGGAAAAAAAGGGTAAAAGTCATGGGAATGGATCCCAACATCAGAAAATTAATAGAATTTATCATAACAACAACATTCTTGTGATAGGAAGTTCCCTTCTTAAAAGCATAAATACAAAAGACCTGATTAACACCAGTGTATCAACAAACAGAGGTGCAAGAATTGTTGATATTATCAACATTGTCAAAGATAAAGACATCAGGCAATATGAATCAATCATTGTCCATATTGGTGGGAATGATATTAGCAATGGTGCCACCCTGAATCTGATCCAAGAGAACTATGAAAGTTTATTGTACTTGCTCAGATCTAAAGCAGATATGAACACTAACATTATTGTGTCAAGTGTACCCCAAAGAAAGGATGTAGATGTGGAACCGGTTAATAAAATTCTAATTGATCTGTGCGACTATTACAATTTACAATACATAGATCATAGCAAATGTTTCTATGATGACTATGGCTACGTCAAAAAGACTTTATTTCAAAGAGATGGCATTCATCTTACAAAAATGGGAACAATGGTATTTTTTCAAAACATTGATCAATATGTAAAAATTCTTAAACTTTCACCAAACAATGATTACTGTCAATACTGTGGTGAAAGAGGTCATGACCTAAATACATGTAGGCATGGTAAACCTTTGTCTTGTTTCTCCTGTAAATCATTTGGTCATAAGGAGAAATTTTGTGATCTGTATTGGAGTTAAAAAAAAATGGCAACGAAGATATAGCCATTTCATCTTTAAAATTTATTTCTAAAAATGAAAAAAAACTTCCCCAAACTATTTTGATGTTTTAAATCAAATTTGTCAAGAATGTAATACTTACAAATGTATCTGCCCTACAGACAGGAGTCTAAATTATCTTTTTAAGAAAAGTGAAAAAACCACCAAACTTAAACATTCTTCAAATAGAATGGACAAATCTATTATCAATGTTTCTAAATCTAATATAAGTGACTTGAACAAAATAAATGCAATCACCAGTATGACTAATGTTGAATATTTGACAGTGGAGGAAAATCTTTCTATTGCTGTTACAGAATCTGATAATGGTACTTATGAATTTAATGATGAAGTAATTAATTTGCAATGTACTGATACAAATGTTTTATGCAATCCCCCTGAGGCCTTATCACCTGTTGATTTTAAGCTTTGTTTTTCCATTGGATTAAGTGTATTAGTTACAGCATGTTTATTTGCCTTACTAAATAATTGTTATGAATTACCTAATTTACAAGAAACATCTGAAGGAAAGGATAATGTTTATGACTTTTCTTTAACAAAGGGTATAAAAATATGTTCGCATAATGTCAACAGACTTGAACACAAGCTAGATGAAATCAAATACAATTTAATGTTCTCCGAAAATCCTCCAGATATAAACTGTTGTTGTGAAACATTTTTGGACAGGAAAACCCAGGATAATTTTATACAAATTCCTGGGTTCATTTTAAACAGAAAAGATAGAATATCACGAGGTGGAGGTGGTCTGGTTGCTTATTTTTCAGAAAAAGTAACATTTAATAGAAAAGCTGAATTTGAAGTAAGTGACATTGAAACAATGTGGTTTGAAATTAAACCAGTTCACAAAAAAATCATTTTTATTGTCAAGCCTTCGACTTTAGTCGAAAAAGCGAGACATAGCGATCCTACATTCCGTCGGCGTCGTCGTCATCGTCGGCGGCGGCGTCCACAAATATTCACTCTGTGGTTAAAGTTTTTGAAATTTTAATAACTTTCTTAAACTATCCTGGATTTCTACCAAACTTGGACAGAAGCTTGTTTATGATCATAAGATAGTATCCAGAAGTAAATTTTGTAAAAATAAAATTCCTGTTTTTCCGTATTTTACTTGTAAATGGACTTAGTTTTTCTGCCAGGAAACATTACATTCACTCTGTGGTTAAAGTTTTTAAAATTTTAATAACTTTCTTAAACTATCCTGGATTTGTACCACATTTGGACAGAAGCTTGTTTATGATCATAAGATAATATCCAGAAGTAAATTTGTTAAAAAAAAAAATCATTTTTTCCTTATTTTACTTATAAATGGACTTAGTTTTTCTGCCAGGAAACAATACATTCACTCTGTGGTTAAAGTTTTTAAAATTTTAATAACTTTCTTAAACTATCCTTGATTTGTACCTAACTTGGACAGAAGCTTGTTTATGATCATAAGATAGTATCCAGAAGTAAATTTGTTTAAAAAAAAATTTCTTTTTTTCCGTATTTTACTTATAAATGGACTTAGTTTTTCTGCCAGGAAACAATACATTCACTCTGTGGTTAAAGTTTTTAAAGTTTTAATAACTTTCTTAAACTATCCTGGATTTGTACCAAATTTGGACAGAAGCTTGTTTATGATCAAAAGCTAGTATCTAGAAACTATATATTGTTAAAATTTGTACCTGTTTATCCGTATTTTAATTATAAATGGACTTAGTTTTTCTTCCGGTTAACATTAAATACAGTCTGCAGTTAAAGTTTTTAAAACATTTATTAGATTCATAAACTATCCTGGATTTATACCAAACTTTGACAGAAGTTTCTTACAATCAAAAGATAGTATCTAAAGGAATATTTTTATTGATTTTTTTCCTCATTTTTGTTGAGCCTGCAATTAACAGCAAAAGTAGGCGAGACACTCGGTTCCGCGGAACCCTTACGAATTTTTATGTTCAGTATACAGACCTCCTAGTTCATTAATTAATTGAATTGATGAATTTGAAAAAGAAATTACAACTGCCATCAATCATAATTCAGATATTATTGGTGATTT